TCTTCAAGCCTTTAATATCCCAGACACTATATCTTTTGATATCCGGGCACCACAGTTTTCTTCACCACATTTGCTTATGCACCCATTTTGTCTTCAGTGATTGTGTCAGGAAGGTGAGCATCACTGAATGCCAGATTATTAGAACAAAGTGTTCTTGTGTTGAGGAAGTATATGATTTGAGGCCCAATGTCCATCTGCTACCTTAATTCATAACATATAGATATAAGTACATAGATCTATTTCCCTCTCATTATAAATCAATATATTTACATATGTACATGCTTTTATTTAGACCTTTATAAGTGTCCTTTGCCTCCTGGTTCTTTCCTCTATTTCCTTTTACTTCCCTCTTGTCCCACCATCATGTTCGGCCTTCATTCGGGTTTAGTAATTCCTAACTGCGACATTGCCCTTGATTAAGCCCCACTAGGCATCCTACACCCTTCTCTCCATTCATTTTAGTTCACTTGTTGTTCCCTTGCCCCTGGGTTGGTTCCCCACACCCCCTTCCTTTCTCCCGTATCCCCCCAGAACCATCAGTCCCGTTCTTTTCATCTCTCAATTGTTTATCCCACCTATCTTATCTAGATGGACATGCAGAGACATTAATAAGTATAAAAGCCAGGCAAAGACAAACAAAACAACAAAGGAAGTCAAAACCAACAAAACAATAATGACAAAAAAACAAAGAAAACAAAAATACAATAACAAAAAAGAAAGGCACTGACAAAAATGGAAGTTCTTTGCTTATCTTGGGTGCCTTTCAATAATTATTTTTCCATTCATTTAAAAAAATGAAGCTGGGATCTGAATCGGAAATGTATTTATAGATTGTTTTTGGTAGTTGGTATTGACATTTCCACAATATTAAGCCTTCCTACCCCTGTGCATGGAATATTCTTAAATTTGTATAAGTGGGTTTTTGGTTTGTTTGTTTGTTTGTTTGTTCGCTTCTTGTAGTAGTGTTTTATAGTTGTTCTTTTTGTATAGTCAGGTCTTTTTATTTCTCTTGTTTGATTTACACCTAAGTATTTCATTTTTTGTGTGGTTATTGTAAATTATATTGTTTACTTGATCTCCTATTTAGTACTCTCTCTTAATCGGCATACAGAAATCCTATTGATTTTTGTATAGTAAACTTGTATTCTGCCATGTTGCTGAATCTTTTGATTATTTCCAACACTTTTTTTTTCTTTTTCTTTTCTTTTTGTGTGTGGAATCTTTAGAATTTTCTAAATTCTCACCTACAAATATTGAGAGTTTCACTTCATCTTTGCCCATCTGGATTCCTTTGATTTCTTTTTGTTGTCTGATATTCCTGGCTAAAACGTCTAGCACAATGTTGACTGACAGTGAAGTGAAGGGGTATCCTTATCTGGTTCTTGTTTGAAAGAGAATCCCTTCAGTTTCTCCCTGTTGAATCAAATAGTGACAGTTGGTTTTGCATATATAGTCTTTATTATGTTGAGAAATTTCCCTTCTATTCCTATTTTGCGGAGTGTTTATGAAGAATTGGTATTGGATGTTGCCAAATGCCTTTTCTGTGTTGATTGATTTGTTCATATGATTCTTATTTTTTGTTTTGTTTGTGTGGTGCTTTGCATTGGTTGTGTTTCTGATGTTGAACTATCCTTGAGTCCAAGCAATTTTCAATCACTTTATATACATGCAAAAAGTGGACAATGAATAAGAAAGCCTAAAGAGGAATTGGTGTATTTAAGTTATGGTGTTGATGAAGAATATTGAATATACCATTGACTTGCAGAAGAGAGAACAAATATATCTTGTTAAAAGCAAAACCAAAATACTATTTAGAAGTAAGGATGGTAAAATTTTGTCTCTGTATTTTGGACAGGTTTTCAGGTGGAACCTTGGAATAGAATAGTACACAATGCTTAGTAAAATAAGCAATAGACTCAAGTATAGCAATGATTATGAGGAAGGTGCACATCTGGGCAGTATTTTGTTCTGTTGTACATGGCGTTGCATCAGTCGAACAGCACCTATTTATAACAACTAAAGTAAAGTGAATTTTCATTGTTTTAAATGTATGCTTGGAATAATAAATACGTGTGTCTAAAGACAGATTACACAATAAACAATGTAAACATGTGCTTAAGGCATCAACCAAATGGAATACCAGTTGTTCAAAGTGAAAATCCACAGATGTCAAACAGACAGGACACAAGAAAAAGCAAGCATTCCAGTGGAAGGGAACTGGCTGGGTACGAAATGAAATCGACATCCGCTCCAATGGGTGAGAATGTGCTAGCCAGGGTACTGACATTCAAGGTTGTTTAAGCTATGAGGCCCCTACCACTTTCATTGACATCAATCTCCTATGAACGCCTCCTGTGCAATTGAAACTCCTTGGGAGTAGACTGTTTCTTTCTATTAAATGAAATGGGCATGGGCTGTCAAGTCTTGGATCCAAAATGGCCAGTTATTGGGTGAGAATTGATTTTATTAATAGAGAGTAAGTCTTGGATCCATTTTGAGAGAGTTATTTGTACATCTATGTCTGCTGATCCAGCAACTCCAGCTAGTTGAACCAGTAATACTCTGCTATTATATAAAGACCAGTGTATTCTCTTGCTTATGTCCTTGATAACCAATGAAAATTCTAGTCCCAGATGATACATAAAAGTGAAGGAATTTTAAAAAAATGAGTGAATTTGAATAAGTTGACAATGGTAATGAGTTCATTCAAGTTATTTTTCAACTTTATAGCATTTATGTATAGCGTTTTAACTGGTTTGTTAAAAATAATTTTTTAACTATTAAAATTTGCCATGCACAAGAATGTAAACTACCATATATTTAATATAATACTCATAGGTAGTAATATAATACATAGATTATGTCATATGTTGATATTAATGTTTTAATAATATTTATCTGGCACAAAATGTTTTTACGTATCAAGTGAGTTTCAATTTTATTGTCTGTTTCATGGGACACAGTATTGTTATTAATCTATTATTTGCTAATGAACAGATATTAGGTCTATTACAAGGATACGAAATTCTGTGCAAGTATAGCGTTGTTCAACAATAATGTTTGTTTCTAAATTCTTCTGAAAAAGCAACTATAGGTGTCTTTCTGAACAGTACATTCATATTTTAGCAGAATATTTTGAATCCCAATGTAAAGAGTTTGAAGAAATCCTCAAAGAAATAAAGAATATTTAGAAACTAAAATTACATAAATGTATTTAATTTTCCATTTTCCCTCAGACTGACTTTCTTTTAATGAATTGATTGGTATTATTTAAAAAGTTATAGTAAACAAAAATATAAACAGTAAAACTCATATTCCATTCAAATATGTAATAGACAGGGACATCACAGATTATTTGTATTTAGGGCCCTCACATGCCTTACTATGGCTTACAATGTGCTAATAAATTCATACAATTTCACAGATAAATATATGTGCTTATATATATATAATATTTTAATAATCATGCCTAAAAACCCTTCTGAAAAATTATGCATAAGGAATATATAACAGTATAAGGAATATATAACAGTATATAAGAATATATAACATTGTATTTACTACACATTTATATTGTGAGAGTTTATATATATATAACAGTATATAAGAACATAAAACATTGTATTTACTACACATTTATATTGTGAGAGTTTAATTACTAATTGCATAGGATATTTTACCAGCATCATTACCATTTGTAATGGCGATATGTCAGTGATTTGACTAATCTTTTTTTTTTAATTCAAAGAGTTTAATCCAGATGTTGTTGACATTTTGAGTACTCCAGAAAACATAACTCAAAGCAAGAACTCAGTTCTCCAGACTGAAATTTCTGAGGAGAATATTCATCATGAACAGCCTTCTGTTTTTAATCCATTTCAGAAAGAAATGTTCACCTATTTGGTAGAAGGATTCAAAGTATCTATTGTAAGTAAATTAATTCATTGTGAGGTGTTCATTCACACTTAGATTAGAGATTTTTATGTGCCTGTATCTTAAGTTCCTAAAATAATACTTCTTTGTGCTCTTCCACAGGATTTTCAGATACTCAAACAACTTGAATTTTTAATCATGGAACAATCTATATTTTAAATTTACCCTTTCAAAAAGAGCTCACTTCAGGCAGTATTACAATGGGATTATACTTTTTTAAAATCAGCACTAGAAACTCTTGGGCTTTATGATTATCAAGAGAGTTTAAATTAATAGCCTTGATTTTTTTTATTGTACTAAAATTCACATAACATAAAATTTACCACTTTATTTTAAAATGTATATTCAGTTGTATTCAACCACCACTACTATTTAGTTTCAGAATATTTTCATCTCCACAAAAGGAAACTAATCACTCCATACTCCCACCCCAATTCCACTCACAACTACTGGCAACCACTAACCTATATTCTGTCCTATGGGTTTCCCCTTTTATGGACTTTACATACAAATGGGGTTATATAATATGTGGTTTATTTGTCCACTTTCTTTCACTCAACATACTGGTTTCAATGTCTATCCATGTAGTATTAATACTTAAGTTTTTCTTCCATTAAGTTTTGTAGTTTTAAAATCATCAGCCTACTGAGCTTCACATTTAATTCCAATTTTTCTTTTAACTTAACACTTTCCTCTTTTAAATTTCCACTTTTGTTGATTGTGGTAAAATACACCTAACATGAAATTCACCATTTTAACATGTACCAATCAGTGCCATTAAATACATTCTCAAGGTTCTGCAGTTCTCACCACTTAGTTCCAGAAATTCTTCACCACCCCAAAGGGAAATCACACACTCCTTAATCAGTCGCTGCCCTTTCCTTTCCCTCAAGTCTACGCTCCAACTCACAGCAATCCTATATTAGCAAGCCTAACTCACAAAACAACCACTGATCTGCTTTCTATCCCAATGTATTTTCCTGTTCTGAGCATTTCAGGTGAATAGAATGAACATTTCAAATGAATATTATCTTTGTGACTGGCTGTTCACACAGTAAAATGTTTTTTAACTTTCATCTGTTTTGTACATATCACAGTACTTGATTCCTTTAAGGCTTTGGGTCCTTCCTACCTTTTGGTTATTGTGAACAATGGAGCTAAGAATATTCATCTACAAGTTTTTGGTTTAAACATGTTTGAAAGTCTATGAATATATACTTAGTAGTGGAATTACTGGGTCTTATGGTAATTCTGTGTTTTACTTTTAGACATTGCAATGGAATCATTTACAATCCAACCAACAATGCACAAGGGTCCAATTTGTCCACATCTTATCCAGCTCAGCACTCACTATTTTATATTCTATTGAATATAGAAGGAGCCCTGGTGGTGTCATGGGTTATGAATTAGGCTGTTCACCATGAGGTCGTCAGTTCAAAAACACTAGCTGCTCCATGGGTGAAAGATGAGACTTTCTCCTCCCATGAAGATTGACAGTCTCAGAAGCTCTCAGGCAGTTCTACTCTGTCTTGTAGAGTCACTATGAGTAAGAGATGACTCAAAGGCAGTGAGTTTGATTTTGGGTTTTGTTTGGGTTTTTTTTAAGTTTTTTTAATGAATGAGTAGTAAGGTTGTTATTTCCTGAGTGACTAATAACATTAACATCATTTCATATGTTTGTTGTCTACTTTAAAAAATGTTTATGTCCCTTGCTAATTACTTAATTGGATTGTCTACCATTGTTGAGTTATAAGGGTTCTACACGTATATCCCTTTTGAATACTAGATACTTACTACTGAATATATGCTATGCAAATGTTTCACAGGTTGTCTTTCCACTTTCTTGAGTGTTTTTTTTAATGCACAAAAGTGTGAAACTCTAATGAAGTCGAGTTTATCTATATTTACTTTTGTTGCTTGTAGACTTAATGTCATATTTAAGAAACCATTACCAAAAGCAAGGTCATGACGAATTTCCTCATGTTTTCTTTTATGAACTTAATAGATTTAACTCTTACAATTAAATCTGTGAGGTATCTTGAGTTAATTTTTTTATATAGTGTGAAGTAAGGACCCCATTAGCCTGTTTTCAGATGACTTATTCAAATCCACTCATAATCACCTTGAAAGAACAGCCTGGTGGTCTCCTTCCAAAAGATCGCAGTTCTTGAAGGATGTATGGGAGCATAGTTCTATTTTGAAACATAGGGTCACCATGAATTGGAATGGACTCAGTAGCAACTGGTCTTGAGTTATTGAATTATTATGAAGTTTAAATATCGACTTAAATATATCCAAAACTTTCAAAATTATATGTAGAACACTGACAAATGGCAGGTTCCATTTGTCATTTTCTCACTTTGGTTTCTTTGAGTCGCTGTCCCCCAAAGTTGATGGTGGAACAAGTCAGTCAGTTCAATCTTTAGATACGAAAAGCCCAACTAATCCTAGCAGAACTCATAAATTCAGGCTCTGCTGTCTGTAAATATAAACTCACTGTTGATGTCTAGCCCTGAATAGGGAAAGCAACTGCATGTTTCACTTAGAATCATTCACACCAGAGCCAAACCCACGGCCGTAAAGTCCATTCTAACTTACAGAGTACCTATATAGGGAATAATATACAGGATTTCCAAGACTGTAAATCTTCACAGGAGCAGAAAGTCTGACCTTTTATTCCCAATGAAGGACTGGTAGGTTTGAATCTCGAAGTTAGCAGCCCATTGCCTTACCCCAATGTCACCAGTTTTTAACCAGGTACAGGCAACTTGATTAGAATTGGGCTAGATTTCATAAGAGCACAATTGAAATAGATTATTTGGTGATTTTTAGAGGATATCAATGACCAACAAGTCTTGGTGCCATAATAGTTCTGCATTTGTCTGTGATCATTAAGGTTGGCAGTTTGAAACCACCGTCAGCTCTGCAGGAGAAAAATGGGGCTTTCTACTCCTATAAACAGTTACAGTCTTGGAAACTCACAGGGCAGGTCTACCCTGTCCTATAGGATCACTGTGCATTAGTACTGACTCCATGGTAGTGAGTTGTTTTTGTTTTTGTTCAATGGCCAGCACATAAATGGTTTTTAAATTGTGACTATATTTTAATATTAAATCAAATCTTTGTTATAAGTCCTTTCTGTTTTATATTACAAAGTCACTTTGGGCTTCTCGCCATTTTTCTTTGATAGTTCAGTTTTCATATGCTTTTTTTTCCACTTTATATTTTCCAAACCCTCAGAAATTTTTCAAATGCCACAGGATTTTAGCATCTTTAGCCATCCCTTTTAAACTTCCATTTGTATAGATTTGTATATGCATTTCCAGATTTAACTTTTAAAATAAAACACTTTCCATGATGTACACCATTTCCCCCCATGATATTCTTTAAGGATAAATTGAAATTAGTGTATTTTTACATCAGAAAACTGATCTTATTTCATTTCTATTTTGATTTAAGAGTTCAAATAAACTCAGTGGATCTAAACATCAGTGGACTAAAATCCTGTGGTCTTGTAAGGAAACCTTCCGAATACAGCTTGGGAGGCTGCTAGTCCATATTTTGTCACCAAGCCACACTTCACAAGAGAGAAAACAAATTTTTGACATAGTTCATGAACCAAATCATCAGGAAATACTACGAGACTGTCTCAGCCCATCTCTGCAAGTAAGTGTTCAGCATTTAGTAAAACTTTTGGTGAAATATAAAATTAACTATTCTTGTATTTTCCTGCCTGCTGTCATGAAATATATTTCTTTAACTAAATAATTTGCACTAAAGATCTTTCTGCAGATACTTTTT